ATATATATATATATATATATATATGTAAACAAAAACTTTTATTTTGGATGCGATTAATCGTTTGACAGCACTAGTTAAAATATCAGAAAATTCAATGTTTTAATAACAAGACAAGCTTAGTTCAGGCTGTCACGTGGTGTAACTCCTCAAAAACCTTTTCTTTTTAAATAAATAAATAAATGAACGAACGACCTTTCTTTTCACAGAACTTTTCAAGTTTTAAACTACATTTTTAATTAAAATTTTCCAGTTACATTTTTTTTTCTTTTTTTTCTTGATCTTATTGGACACCTGTTTTAGAGCATTTAGTATCTAATTAAACTGGCTTGCGGGGTAGCAAGTGAAATACAGCACACAAAAGTAATGCAACTGTTCAGTGAATTCACCCCTGAATGTGTAATGAGATGGTCAGGACTTTATTAAAGCCCTTATGGTTGAAAAATTGCTCAGTATTCTACATGTCACTACATGACACTTTCACATCTCATAATGTATTTGTGTCTGGATTGGTTTTATTGTGGTCATTACTATTTATAATCCTCCAGCCAAAATGCCAAGCGTGAACTGCCTGCACACACATCTTTATGCAAATGAAAGTCTGGACAAACGAACCCTATCCCAAAAGCTTAGAAAAATAACCATGATCTATTGGTCTATGTAGCTTTTCGGCTAAGTTCAGCGAGATGGCAGTTTCCTCTATTATGTCTTGCGTCTGCTTCTGTTGTGGAGAAGTTGTAAAAATAGCCCCTGCATCTTGTGGAGAAGGTTTCTCCCGCGCTGATTTATATTGAGAGTAGAGTGAAATGTCATAAATGTGCGCCTTAAAAAAACACAGAGGAATTGTGTGATGTGGTGGGGGGTATGTTATATGCATTAGAGGCTGACTTCTGCTTTTGGATAGACCCCGGGCTGACAACAAAAACTTAGAGGTCTCGCCGTAATGTGAACTGATTTTTTCATACAATATCCAGAGAGATATGTAAGGGAGCAAAATTTGCACGGCTCAAATGATGTATTTGTGGAGTTGCCGATGGCCCGTGAGCAGATGAAAGCAGCTTGGAGGAAGGGGGAAAGGCAGGCCAGGTTCATTAAGAGATGACTGCCCGATTGAGGTCTGCTCAAACGTGTAATTATTGATTTACAGGCCTGGATCAGGGTGGTGATTACAACTTTCACGTTCCTTCAGAGCTCCAGACAGCCTCTGGCCTTTGACCCATCTGTCCCCTTCTCACAGCTGTTACCGAGCCAGAATGAGCCTCTCTTTACAGCTTAGCTGAAGGAGATGTCCTCCGCTCCTGAGCTTTCAGAGCTGCCCGAGCTTGTTTGCTTGTGTGCAGGGTGGGCGACGTGATTGACGTGATCCATCAAAGTTCATGATCTGCTGCTTGTCTCACAGTTTCGGCATGAACCACGATGGGATCGGGAACTCCTGCGGGACCAAAGGTCACGAGACAGCCAAGCTGATGGCGGCCCATATCACAGCCAACACCAACCCCTTCTCCTGGTCAGCCTGCAGCAAGGACTATATCACCAGCTTTTTGGAGTAAGTGAAAAGAGCATTTGAAGAATGCTTGACCTAATGCAATCATATATAGTATAATATAATCCATTATTCCATCTCATTTGCTGGTCTAAAGCCCAGCTCACACTGTACGATTTAGTCGTCTGAGACAAATTTTGAAAATCCTAAAAGATTCCTATAATCCTAGGCTAAAATCTGTAGTCTTTGATTGCTGGTTTGACATGTTCACCGACAGCCGATTAATGGCCGCTGAGATCAAATTTTACCTCCGACGAAATTCTGGCAGTGTCATGATTTGGCGCACAGTCTTGCAGTGTGACTTCTCCTATGACGAACGTCAAACTGTCTTTGTTTTTTCGGAATTAATGCTAGAGATTTCTCCCATCCCCCGCTCACAGAATTCATATGATATGTTGTCTTTGCTATGATAAACACTGGTTGCACCGCTGTTTTCATTTGGGTTTGTAATGCTGCTTACACTATTCTTCTTAAATATGCCGCTATTGCCGCCATTCATATACTTTTCATGATAGCCAACATTTCAGCCCCGCGTGTAATGCAGCTCGCAGTGAACGTGTATGGGTAAGTTTTCTTGCTCGCAGCCATTTCTAACGTGTCTTGACTGTTGTAGAGTCTGACATTAATGACAAGTGAGATCCCACAGCGTGACCTGATCATCATGTTCGTACAGTCTGACAAGCAACAATCATAAAGGACTATTAAAAATCGCACAGTGTGCGCCCGGCTTAGTTAGCAGTGAGGAAGTCCTAAAAAACCTACAAAAAACACTACATTTCAACCAGACATAGGCGACTGTTGACTATTAGCATCTAGTCTGAAAACATCATGACATTGTAACTCTCATTCTGCGAAAAGTGTTGCATACACTGCATACACTTAACCCCACTCTTAATGTTGGTAGAACCAAATGCAAATCTTACAAAAGTTTTGCAGAACAAGTTTTAACAACTAGATGCAACCTGTAAAATACACCATGGGTAACACTTTTACTTTAAACATTCTACTGACTATAAGTCAATTTTCAAGTCCACGCACTCTAAAAAATGCTGGGTTAAAAAGGGACAATCCCAGCTATTGGGTTGTTTTGACCCAGCGGTTGGGTTGTTTTGACCCAACAAGCTGGGTCAAAACAACCCAATAGCTGGGTTTGTCCCTTTTTAACCCAGCATTATTTAGAGTGTGTCAACTTATTCTACTAACCCTAACCCTATCTCTAACCATTACCAGTTTATTAATACTCTAATGAGAGTGAAGCATACAAAAGTATACTTCGTTTTTATACACGTACGCTAGCATATGACTACAGTCGAATGCATAGCCTTTCAAAGTGTCCATAGCATGCTTGAACGCAGGCGGTCGACACATGTGCTCTAGAAAGTTTCATCTTTGTCCAGTGTCTGCTCTATTGTTCTCCAGAAGTTATAAGCAATAAAAATATCTTTGTACTCTTTTAACCCCTTAGCATTCCTGTAAAATTAGCCTAAATCGCCTAAAACACGCAGTGTACTGTGGAACGCTAACAGGTTAAACTAAAGTTGCTGCTCTCTCATAACCCCCTCACGCAAGCGCTTGTCAATGTGGCCGTCTGTTTTTGTTGTTGTTGTTGTTATTCCGTCTTTTTAGTTTCATTTTCTACTGTGAAAAAACGGCGTGGGCCAGTGCTGCCACCTTGTGGAACAAATGATTAGTGCAAAACAAATTCAATGCGCATGCACAACCTGCGCGTAAAATTCGCACGGTTACAAAAATCAGGTGGTGTGCTTACTTATTCTGGTGAAGAAATTTGCGTCACACACACTCACATAAAAACCAAAGTATATTTTCTGCTTGACTGAGCATCCAGCGACACAACTTCAGCTACATTTTAAAGGCTGCAGATACATTCACAATCATTTAAGAGGCTTTTGTGCCTCTTCACTATATGCAGAAAATTTTGATCATCCTTGTTTAACAGTGTTTTTAGAGCCACTGTGTAATATGTTCACTCTACTTCCATGTGGGTTTGTTGGTCCTGCTCGAGATGGAGTCTCTAATCTGTATGGATCTCTCTGAGAAACTGCTACTTTTAAGGGAGCGCTCTTGTCCAGACTGTGAAGGAGGTGTCTCACTGATTCGACTGGAGGCCCTTACACTCTGAACCCTCCTAATAGGTTTATCCCCACTCCTTGGCAAAGGTCCACTACTGACAGAGTCCGTTCTACCACCAGGCAATCTCTGAGAGCTACTCCTGGATAAGCTCTTTGATGGTGTTCCTGTTACAGCAGGTGAGGGCAAGTCTTTTTTAGTTCTGGAAGAAGATGCCACAGTGTTGCGAGCAAAGCTAGGCAAAGGCGAAGAACTTTTCGGGGTGTTGCTGGGACTGTCAGGTGTTCCTCCTTCTGAGGTTCCTTGGGCCTGAGCTTGGGCCAAGGCGCGCATCGTAGAACGACACATCTTTTCCTCTGGTGCTGGTTTTGAAATGTTACGAACAGTTTTGGCATTCGTTTTCTTGATGGAAGGTCTGTGTTGAGCCGAGTCCCTCACCCACCGAGAGGTGCTTGGCGTCGCTCCTCTTGGTGCCCTGGGATCCTCTGGAGGGAGACTTGAATGTCGTGTAGGTCTACCTTGCCTCTCGCCTCTCCTGGCTGGCATGCTTTGGTCACGAATTGGACGTCTGGGTACAATATTCTCATGTCCGGGAGGTTTTTCGACTTTCCTTATGCTGCTACTAGATCGATTCTGCCTTGTAATGGGCACCACTTTGCGCATGTTCTGGGTCTCAGTTGCTGTGAGGGTTCTTGTCGGACGGCTGGCATGAGCAATTATTTTGGATGTTGTCTTGGTTTTGACAAGTGTGTCGTCTGAGACAAATTTTGAAAATCCTAAAAGATTCCTATAATCCTAGGCTAAAATCTGTAGTCTTTGATTGCTGGTTTGACATGTTCACCGACAGCCGATTAATGGCCGCTGAGATCAAATTTTACCTCCGACGAAATTCTGGCAGTGTCATGATTTGGCGCACAGTCTTGCAGTGTGACTTCTCCTATGACGAACGTCAAACTGTCTTTGTTTTTTCGGAATTAATGCTAGAGATTTCTCCCATCCCCCGCTCACAGAATTCATATGATATGTTGTCTTTGCTATGATAAACACTGGTTGCACCGCTGTTTTCATTTGGGTTTGTAATGCTGCTTACACTATTCTTCTTAAATATGCCGCTATTGCCGCCATTCATATACTTTTCATGATAGCCAACATTTCAGCCCCGCGTGTAATGCAGCTCGCAGTGAACGTGTATGGGTAAGTTTTCTTGCTCGCAGCCATTTCTAACGTGTCTTGACTGTTGTAGAGTCTGACATTAATGACAAGTGAGATCCCACAGCGTGACCTGATCATCATGTTCGTACAGTCTGACAAGCAACAATCATAAAGGACTATTAAAAATCGCACAGTGTGCGCCCGGCTTAGTTAGCAGTGAGGAAGTCCTAAAAAACCTACAAAAAACACTACATTTCAACCAGACATAGGCGACTGTTGACTATTAGCATCTAGTCTGAAAACATCATGACATTGTAACTCTCATTCTGCGAAAAGTGTTGCATACACTGCATACACTTAACCCCACTCTTAATGTTGGTAGAACCAAATGCAAATCTTACAAAAGTTTTGCAGAACAAGTTTTAACAACTAGATGCAACCTGTAAAATACACCATGGGTAACACTTTTACTTTAAACATTCTACTGACTATAAGTCAATTTTCAAGTCCACGCACTCTAAAAAATGCTGGGTTAAAAAGGGACAATCCCAGCTATTGGGTTGTTTTGACCCAGCGGTTGGGTTGTTTTGACCCAGGTATTGGGTTGTTTTGACCCAGCGGTTGGGTTGTTTTGACCCAACAAGCTGGGTCAAAACAACCCAATAGCTGGGTTTGTCCCTTTTTAACCCAGCATTATTTAGAGTGTGTCAACTTATTCTACTAACCCTAACCCTATCTCTAACCATTACCAGTTTATTAATACTCTAATGAGAGTGAAGCATACAAAAGTATACTTCGTTTTTATACACGTACGCTAGCATATGACTACAGTCGAATGCATAGCCTTTCAAAGTGTCCATAGCATGCTTGAACGCAGGCGGTCGACACATGTGCTCTAGAAAGTTTCATCTTTGTCCAGTGTCTGCTCTATTTTTCTCCAGAAGTTATGACTGATAAAAATATCTTTGCAATCTTTTAAAATAAAGTTGTGACTATCTCATAACCCTCTCAAAAAAGTGCTTTTCAGTATAGGCGTTTGTTGTTGCAGTCTCGGGTATCTTGTTGTTGTTGTTCCGTCTCTTTAGTTTAATTTTCTTCTGTGAAGCAACGGCCCCGGCCAGTGTTGCCACCTTGTGGAACAACTGATTAGTGCAAAACAAATTCAGTGCGCATGTGCGACCTACACGTACCAATTGGGTGGTGTGTGTACAGTATGCGCGTACTATTCTGGTGATGAAATCTGCATCACGCACACAGTATATGGACCATCGCATAAAAAGTGAAATATACTTTGGGCTTTAGTTGACATGTAGTTGCAAAGTTACTTATAGTAAGTAGAATGTCTAAAGTGGACTGTCAAAATAAAGTGTAACCACAACTATTAAATTTATATAACATTTAGGGTCGGGCAATTCTGAAATTCTGAAATCAGACATTCTACTATTTAAGTTAGCAAGTTTACAGGAGCTTTAAATGCTTGATTTAGGTCGGAATAAAACTTGTCTTTGTAAATGATTAGTTTTTTTGCAAAGTCACATTAAAATCCCTTAATAAGGAATGTAGATCAGATTCGTCTAGCATGCATGCATGTTAATCAGACTACAACTTGACAGAGTTTTGCAAATGCTCTGAAAGATAGAGGTGATGCATGACAAATATTTGATCACAACTGTGTCAAGTGTAAGATGCGACCACATTTACCTTTATTTGGCGAATTTTTGCAGGCATCATCCAGTTATTTTAGGAATCTATACAATTGGGAATTTTGCGGCAGGATGACAAATTTCCATCGCAGATTTCACAATAGGTTCAGATTGGTCATGTGCGGGTATATTGTATTGATGAACAGAAAGCTGCTTGGTTTGACAATGACTTCTGTGTCAGGATTAAATCGCTACACTATTGACAATAGACAATGGACCTTTGTTGTCCACAAAATTTTGCCAACATTTCACTAATGTGGCCCCACCTTTAAACAGACTGCAACTCAACTACACAAAAAAACTGCTGCAGCTTGATTATAGCTGTCCATTAACTGTCCACTCTGTTCAAAGATTCAAAGATTATCAAAACATTGGCAACTATAGTGGCAAATTTTTCCTCAAAAGTACTTATTGTAACTTTTCTTCCAAATGGATTGATAAAAACCTGTGCACCATGATTCAAAAATGGTGTGTAACAGCAGTCCGGGCAGATTGGCCTTGGTCCCAAATGAGGCCCTTAGCACTTTGAGAAAGAGGGCGTCTGTGAGCACCCTTCTAAAACCTAAATTGCCAAATGGAACATTTGAACTAACTTGATTAAATGTCTAGTGTGCAGTTAGAGGATTACTTTTATGGGTTTACTCTCTATTTTACTACTGATACATAATGCCACTTAACAATTGGCTTAATTTTTTGTAACCACACAAATGTGCTGGATTTGAAAAAGATGAGATGAGATGAGAGTGTGGAAGTTGATCTGTAGTAGGCAGTCATAGGCAAGTTTGTGAATTGTTAGCCTAACGTAAGACGAAAGAAAATAATAGCGGTTGCCATGGCTGTCAAAAAGTTTTCCTGGTGAATGACCTCATGGAAGAAGATTAACATCACAGCCATCGCTGGCATCAGAAGCTTTATCATCGTGTGCCAACTTCCCACACAAACACAAAGAAACGCTGCTCTGTTGGTTTGGGATGAACTCCCTGTTGTATAATCACACCGTGTCATCTGTGACCATTTCGGAGTGAGGCTGAATACTAACCTTCCTTTTTTGGATTTGCTTAGTGCCGAGCAATTCATCAATAATGGACTTTCTCTGAAATCTCAGGTTGATGTAATCTTTGGCAGTAAAACAGCTCTGCTATGATAATGCTAGTCTATTACCGCAACATCCCCATCTAGATTCTGGATGTGTGGATGGATCTTTCCTCGCCAGAAACCGGTGTTTGGCTGTAGATTTGGACTTATTTTAGTGTGCTTGTTTGTACATGTACAGTAGGAACCTTCAGTAAAGAAAGTGGCTTTTGGAAAAATGGCTAAAAGCAATTTAGGCTTCTGTTTACAGCAGGCTAGTTAATTGGCAGATATACATGCAAATTTTGAGATTGACATTGGCCATTAAATGTGCCTTTTGACCAATTGACAATTAATTGTGTCAGTTTCAAAATTTATGATATCCATTAACATAGTGGGTGATAAACATTTCTCAAACATTAATGAAAAATATTGAGTAAAAAGGTGTTTAATTAGATTTCTGCAGTTTTGTGTATGTAAAACCACATTGTTTTGTTGTTATGTCAACCATCTGCCACCTTGTTTTGGGACAAGTTAATATCGCTTAACTTACATTATAGACATAACATGGATGGTTATTTTGTCTGTTTTTTACTCCACCAAAGAAAATTATTCCAAATGAAGCAAAGCAGCATCAACCGTTGCGTGTCGTTGAGCCAGAAAGTCTGACACAAACACAGTCAAACTGAGCAATACAAGCATCTCTGTGTTTTAAACTAACTGTTCTAAAAAAAATTATCGATAGGACACAAGGTTAGACGATTGCTATGGACAAGGTGTAATTATTTTGCAATTTCCTATTTAGATATTTGTTTTTGTGCTGAAATATTATAAATAGTTACTAAGTTTCCTTTCATTGCTGACATATCTGCTCGCTGTAACGAGTTTACCCAAGTAAGTTTTGTTGACATGTCAAATAAACATGTCCATTTTAAAAGTGACCATTTTTGTCTTTCTCTAAAGAAATAAACGGTCTTTGTTTGTGTGTTCCAGTACTAGGGCACATATTCAGATTCGTCTTTCTCCCCGGCGAGGGGATTATTCTACCAAAACACATGGGAAAAAATAGAAAACTAAATGGATGAAACCAAATACAACATTGGTTACCCCCCCAGGCTAGAGCTTATGTGTTTCTTTCCTTTCCAATGTATTTGGTTTAGTTTTTAATTAGATTAGACTTCCAGTATTGTGGTGGGAAGCCAGAGATCCCTGTTTCACCTAATGCTTCCTCTTGAATGCACTACAGAAACCAGATCCATAGGATGCTTTTTTTTAGACATCTAAATATATTTTTGAATACCCTTTTGTTAATTTAATGTAAGATTGTATCAACCGCATTTAGCTCATTTAGGGGAAACCAGGGCTGATTGTCAAACTGTTTACTCTAGTGAATAATACATTTGCATTTATTCATTATTTTTTTCTCAGGACAGTGTTTTATGTGTACATGTTAAATATTTAACAATATTAAATATAGTATATAAAATAATATATGTTTATATATATATTTAAAATTTTTAATGCAAATTATGATGTTGGAATTTTAGTTTGAAGGCTAAAACAAATGATTTAGTATTATAAAACTACAAATTATTCTAATTTAAGAACTATGTGATTTCAACGAGTTAAAGCTCCAGTGATAACTATCTCCGGCCTCCAATATATATATAAACAAATAGTTGTCATTTAAGTTTTAAAGTCACGCCTTCCCATTTTTTCGTCTTCAGACCAATAAATGTGGGATTTAGACACATATCCCTTGTAGAAAGTGTCTGAAAATGTAATGGCATACTGTCAGAGGGTTAGTGTGTCTTGGCTGATGCAATGTAAACTCACTCTCTTTAGAGGCACTGTTGCTTTTAGCAGCGCACGGTGGGGTGGTTGGTTAACATGCTTTAGGTTGCGCGTTCAGTTGCAGCAATCATGCGAATGCCAGACAGAACCTAGAATAGAGCCGCCTGCTCTCCAGCAGTATGAAATGTTAGCGTTTATGTTGTTAGTGAGCCCACTATTCCCTCAGAGAGAAGGAGAGCGTATTCCGCGGCATGCTGCTGGAAAAGCCAGCGGGATAATAATTGGCTATTTTATTCCGGCGGACAGCAGCGGCGTGGGGCGGACACGTCTCTCAGCCGCTTGTGCATGCCAGGGAGGGGGGAAAAGCATCCGTAATGGGGACGCCGAGAATAAAACAAGATCCACTTCTGAACCCAGAATAAACACAGTCCAACAAAACATGCATCGCCTGGCCTCTGCTTTGGCTCTATTTTTGCACTTTGTTTGCTGCAGACAGAGCTGTGGCCCTTTTTTGAGGGTTTCTTGGGAGCATTCATATTTCTAGCTGACTAAACAGACTAAACACAACTTTGACTGGACGCATGACCTCTGGTACCTTCTATGTTTTTTTGCTCGTTCAGTCTCTTTCTTTCTTTTATTGGCTCTTCAAAGGATTCCATAGGCGCACCGCAGTACCATATAAGTCCAAATCTCAGTATTTTATGACCACTGTTTGTCATTCACGCTTCCCTCATTTTGCCTTCTGTATTTCCCAGGTTTCTCGCTTGCTAATTCCCATTAACACTATGCCTTTCATTTCCCTTTCATGTGAGATTTTGTCACAAGACTTTTCTTCTCTTATTGGACAGAGATGAAACGTCTGTAGAGAAGCCAATCCCATTGAAGGTTTGTTTTTTTGACAGCTCAGGTCGAGGAACATGTCTGGACAATGAGCCTCTTAAACGAGACTTCCTGTACCCCACTGTGGCTCCAGGGCAGGTGTACGATGCAGATGAGCAGTGTCGTTTCCAGTACGGTGCCTCCTCCTGTCAGTGCAAATATGGGGTAAGAAGGCTGCAACACACTATCATGCTCTGGGAATGTCATGCTCACATAGTGAAATTTATTGGCTCAGACACCAAACATTTTTGGCATTTTTGTTAGAGAATGGGACAGTTCTGCTTCAACCATAATAATTTTTTAAAAAGCAGTATCATAAACCGTTCATTAAAAGTAAAAATTACTAGCTTTAAAAGTTAATTGTGTAATATCTTTGCCACTATTGTCAGCAAACGGTATAGCAAAAATAATACCTGTTTTCAAACAGATTTCCAGAACTCATGCCATTGGTTGAGCCACTGTTGCTGTGTCAGACTCACACAACAACCTCACACAAACCAAGAAGCAAAAATGAACTTCCGTCACAACATGCACAACTATTCTGTGCATGCTTAAAAGTCATGAGAAAGTTGATAATGTAAAACATAACAATGGTAAATGTTGGACTTTTAAACATTGCAGAAATGTTGTTAAAATCACTGTTGCCAACTACTTTAAATGGAAAGTAGCTAAAGTCTGCTAGCTAAATGTCGCTAGATGGCAATATACTGTACCAGCGAGTCTCGGAAACTAGGATAAACCATATCTAGTTTTATAGATGCGATGGTATATGGTATATCATTTTTATTGGTATATATTGGTATAATCTCGCCTAGCGACTACAGTTGTTGCTAGGTACATTTTTTTTTAAAGTTCCAAAAGGGGTTTTAAAAGTCACTAAATCGAGCGACAAAGTCGCTAAGTTGCCAGTGCTGGTTACCAGGGGCCAACAATACTGTGGTTGTCGTTTAAATGCTTCATTCAAATGTACAAGTTACGTTGTTTTAAAAGCTGGTTTTGGTATGGTTGTGTTTTTGTTGTAAAAACATATTATATTGACATTTTGAGTCTACTTAAGGTAAACCATTTTTAAAATGTTACCGAGATGTTACCTTACTACAACCAATGCAATGAAGCAAAAATCACTAAATCTTCAATGAAAATATGAATTTTGGCCCTAGTCAATCATGCTTTGCAAGAAAATGCCAGAAACTTTGCGAACACATCAAGTGTGATCAGATATTTGCTACATTATTGATACCTGTGACGTTAAAACCTGCTGTATATGTACTAAAATTCAAGAGCTGATTTTAAATCAGAAGTCGGTTTGGACATAGAGAGCAAGACCGCTACATAAAGAACTCTGAGGAGACATGATGCCGGAGGTCAAGCAGTTATTTTTACCACTGACCCAGAGGAGAATAGCCAAAGGACATGATTTGTTCAGCAGGCAACATTACAAGAAGAGCTTTCTGATGTACAGAGCAGTGGGGGGGAATGTGCTATGAGTGAGTGCTGTGGTGTCTCATTTGGACTTGTAAAGAATATATCGAGTTTAAGTTTTTGTAACACTTGCCCTGATTGTGGAAAACTTTTGGATGCTTTGAGAAACACAGGTGATAGCAATCAGCTGAGATTATTTTCACTTCCTTTGAGGGCTAGAAGTGAGGCTGCCAAGTCGATACTCTCTTGTAGTAGGTCACATGATGCCATAAATGTTGTCGAAATTAAAGATCGTTGTTTTATCAGCACCTGAAACGAGCTTCGTCGAGCACGTTTGAAGTCGGGCCACATATCTTTCAGAGAAAGCCCATACTTGAGGTTTGTTTCTTTTCCTGTCGAATCCCCAGACTTTTGGAAATGATAATGATTTTACCCAAAGAATAACAAACTTAAGCAAATAAACTGACACAGGGAGAAAAAAAAAGGCTTGAATGAAGCCAGGAAAATTAATGATCAATAAGAGATGGTGCTCTGCTTAGTACAAATATGCGGCTTTGCTTTCTACACCAGAAAAGAATTAAATTACCCAAGATTACAGAGTTCTTTTGTTTCATTGAGAGATATATCCGACAGTGGATGAACGCATGCCAAAAAGAGAACCCTGTAATTTCTCTCTTAAGCTCATAACTGTGGTATAGATCAGCATGGAAGACGGTCATGTAAAGAAAAAAAGTCTCACATTCCCTTGGCTCAAGTTTAATACAGCGTGTAGTGTTAGTGGATTCTGACAATCTTATTTTTTTCTGCCAACCATCTGTTTAATACATGCCTTTGGAGAATTATAACCACACCAGCAGACCAGAGGTTTGAATTTGGTTTGGATAAACTGTTACAGAGAGATAAACACACACCCAGGGGGTGGACAAAAAATTTGAAACCTAAAAATATATTGATATCAAAGACCTAATAAGGAGTATGACCACCTTTTGCCTTTGATTCTTCCTGGAATGCTGTCATACATTTCCTGAATGGTGTGGGGTGGAATTTACCCCATTCTTCAAGAAAACTTGAGCCTGGGGTCTTTAGGACAAAGCCAGTGGAAATCTATTTCTAAATCTATTCTGCTTCAGATCAGTGGTGTTTAGATCTAGTGACTAGAGAGGATGTGGGTGGCATTACACTTTATCCTGCTGTGTATTAAACCACCAATTAATTAGCAGTGTATATGAGGAGATTATCACCATGGAACATGGGAACATCATAAAGGAAAATATTTAGTGGCAGTGGAGAGCACCTAGTATGGTAAGGTGGTCTCAACAGTTTCAGTGTGACTGGATCATTTTGAGGCTGGACTTTTCAGATATTAAGGTATTGTTCCTTATGAGTTATTTGTATGACAAAGAAGACATAGACGTCTGCTGAGTTTTTCAATGTTTTGCATATGATGTCTTAAGACTCACTCGAAGATAGATAGATAGATAGATAGATAGATAGATAGACAGACAAAAGAGTTCAAGGAGGAGTAGACGGCAGAAGGAGCTATGAAGGGATGAGCTATGGATGGCCAACAAGATCCTAGCGCAGTCCAGGAGATGGCCATGAGGGAGGCGATCCCTGGCGGAACCGATGGAGGGAGGAGGAAGGAAACTTGAGCCTGACTGGCTGAAGTGTCACTGTGCAATGAGGAGGCCCAGGCAATGATGAAGGACCAGAAGGTCAAGGCAGAGTCCTAGCGACAAGCGGCTGAGGAGGATACAGGGCAACAGAGAACTACGGTGATGATGGAGCAAGTGGGGACCGAGGTGTAATCTGAGGGAAGGAAGAGCCAGACGGAGCCATAGGGGTGCAGGGATAGAGCACAGCGGATATCCTGGAAGTCCGTGGCGATGGTAGAGAGGGCAGAGCCGGTGGGACAAGGGAGCCCAGAGAAGCCGACAGGGCGACGGTCCATGGTGGAGCAGAGGGAGCGAGGAGCCGGGATGGAGCCAATTGGTCGATGGGCAGAGGTAGAACTAGGGGCTCCGAAAGACAAGGCGGAGCCTGGGACTCCTCAAGCCAGGGCATAACTGGGTACTAGAATCCCAAAGGCGGATCAGGGCTGCATGGCAGGGCTGATGGTGGAGCTGAGGGGCACCAGCGGAGGCAGAGCAGAGGGAATAGCTGGCTTCAGGGGAGCATGCAGTAGTGCAAGACAGGGCGATTGAGTCAGCTCAGTGATGGACAGAGCTGGTAGTGATGAAGAACCATCTGTGCAGGAATGAACTAGTGATGATGAAGAACTTTCTGTGCTGGACAAGACTGGTGGCGATGAAGACTCTGAGCAGTGAGATCAGTAACAATGAAAACTCTATACTGGATGTGACTGTTGACAATGAAGACTCTGAACTGAGTGGGATCAACAATGACGAAGACTCTGAGCTCAGTGGGATCAGAGATGATGATACACTTATGCAGGAGGAAGGTTCATGGGTGGACAGGATGGGAAGCACTACCTCAGTTTCTCAGTCAATTAGCCATTTTTCCTCATCTAGCTCCACTAAAATCCCCACTGGTGCACACAATACGGCCGGCTCACACACCTGGTCAGCCGGGACCTCGGGCTCCTCCTCCTGGACGAATGTGGCTGCTGGCTCCATCTCAGTCTAGATCTCCATGGCAGGGATGTGCAGGGTCTCTCTGCGGTGGACTCTGGCTCTTTGTCCACTGTGGACGTGGGCGCTGGGTCCTGGCTCTGGGATAATGACGGATGGTAAGTGGGGTTGGAAGCTGGCGGCGGGATCCTCCTCTACATCACCCACAGTAAAACAAGATCCGATGACCCACAAGGTGAAGTTGATGTACTCGGCCAGCATCCAGCAGGAGTTTCCACGAAGCATCACCAGGCAGATCTTGTCATCCAGTCCAACACAAAATCCCTCTATAAGCTAATTGTCGCTGCAGATGATGAGGTGGCTGGCAACGATGAACTCCTCCACATATGCCTCCAGATTCCTTCCTCCTTGGAAAATAAATACTTTTGCCCTGTTGGGCTCAAAGGGGTTCCCCATCGGGCCAAAGTTAATCGAGGCAAACTTCCTCTTTATTAGTGGGTCCTTTATTCAGTCAAGTTTAGGTCAAAGAATGACAAAGGTAGACAAAATAATTCAAAAGAAATGTATTAGATTAATCAAAGTGAATCCAATAGAGAAGAAACACAAACGAAACAGTGTGTAAAACACAACATGACAATACCAGACAAAGGATTAAAGAAACTGGAACTAATGAAATAATTAACTAAATGACAGGTGAACAGAAAGTTGAGTAGGTGAGTAATTAAACAGACAGAGAAACTAGGTCAGATGACAAAACAAGAAAGACATAACCAAAACAAAATGAAAACATGATAAAAACTAAACAAAAGTGTTACATAGATAGAAAGAATTATTTAATATATTTAAAGGCTATTTCCATCAGAAGACCAAAGCTATGACTGAAATGGAACACTTTGTAAAAATTTGCACAGATAGCCACAAATCTAAAGATCCTTTATATGCTTATTTCATATTGAAATTCTAATTCCAGCCACTTAGTGCCCCATAACTTTAAAAAAAAATTTTTTAAAACTGTTCGATAGCAGTAATTACTTTGGCCTTAGTGAATTCAGCCCATTTTTAACCTGCACTCCCAGCTTAAAACCATCAGTGCTCGGGTCTCGCTGGTCAAGCATACCCCTCTGACCTTCTCAGCATGGGCATCTTGAATGGGCCAGCAGGAAACCTTATTAAAACCAGCCGCAGAGGTGGAGCTTTTGCAACCTGAGAGTGGCAGTTTGCCGCTTTATTTAATCTGGATGGGCTGGGCAGCTGAGTCTTATTTACTGACCTGGGGTCAGCGGCGGTGCTCCCTATCATAAGTCTTTTTCATGGGGGCACTTCTCTGTCCTGTAAATCCTGTGAAGTTCAGACTTTAAAGGGAGCTGGTGCACTTTAATGGGAATTCTAATGCAGGGTTCTACAAAGCTACACTTGTAATGTACAGAAAGCCTTATGTCTTCCTATGCTCAAACTTCAGACCCCAGCATGGTTCCTTTAGAGCATATGGAAGTTAGTTCTTTGGTGCATTTGTCAAATACTTATAAGGCAGTTCTAAAAAATGTAAACTGACACTTTCTACTTCTATACTGATCTTATGAAGTGATGTAAATTTTAGGGAATCAGGAATCCTACTGATTCTCAGACAAATCTACATTAGCAACAAAATGTCATGTAATAAAGCTTAGATACTTAAGGTGTGGTCACACTAGCGAAACTTTGGCTAAATTGTGCAAGGTCACGTCCAAACCAAGCAGCTTCATATGGGTAAACACAGTGAATTTGTGTGTTAGATGTTCAACAAACTTGAATCCCTGTGAAATCTGTGTATCTCATGTGAAATTCCTAATCACATGGATTCCTATTATGACTGCATTTCACCTGTGTAATTTAGCAGTACAAAGGTAAATCTGACCTCACCTTAGCAGATACATTTTACCAGATTTTGCCTGTTGCCATATAACCATATAATTGCTATATATTGCCATAGAGATCGCTCTTACCACAGAAATGCACGCTTCAAACAAAACAGTCAATGAAGACGAAGAAGAGAATGATGTGTGCTCCCGGCGCCTATTTATACTATAGTCGCACCGGTAGTGACGTCATGGCTGTCGCCGGCCAACGAGTTGGTGTTTTTTCAATGTATGCTTCAGACACGGGTCACGACGAGGCGTTCCCCATAGCGACCCCTAGAGGATGCAGTTCGAAGTTCCCATGAAGGGGAATTTCTGACTGTATAGTGCAAATTTTGTAAAATACTAGGTCATCTGGTCAATATGTTAGTACAGCAATTTTGCTGAATTGGTGAGGTCTTTAAGGAGTTTTGTGATGATTAGCATGCTAGAATAAAAAACTGGTTTACCAAGAAAGCCTTACTGGTTAACTAGTCAAAACACTGGTAAATACAATTTCAAGTTTGAGTTAACAGCATTTTAATTAATGTACTCCTAAAATAGCATACACTAGCACTTTTAGGACAACTTTTAGCTACACTCTAAAAATTGCTGGGTTAAAAACAACCCAACTTGGGTTATTTGACAACCCAGCACTGGGTAAATATTGGACAGAACACGTGCTGGGTTATTTTGACCCAGCTGGTTGGGTTAAATGTTTTTACCCAACATGCTGGGTTGTTTTATTTAAGTCAACTGTTGTTTAAAAATTATTATGTTGCTGGCTTAAAATGGACTGGAAATTAAAAATCCCACACAGAATTACTAGAGGCAACAGCAATAATCAAAAGATGAACATTTATTATTAAGCAAGAACACACGTACAAAATACAAGACAAATTGAATTTATTTGGGTGAATACAGCATAGTTTACAATATTACATACATTTAAACTCATTTAACAAGCATTTTAGACACAAACAATGTAACATTTAAAAGTAGCATTTTAATTTAAGTGTAATCAACCATTCTCTGTAATTTTCTTTTTACCGAAATAGTGCTTTTAGCCAGTGAAGGGCTGCTGTTCGTGGGGGAACTGTGAACCTCAGACTGCAGCCTCGCATTTCACTCGTAGCTGAAAGATGCCGCGACTGACTCCTTAACCTGCCCATAAATAAACAGTACTGAGATTAGAGAACATATTTTAACATCAAATTAAATTAAACTCAGTATTATAAGGAATAAAATCAGTTTATGTTATGCAAGCCAAAAGGCGTTTCCATCATGCAAAGTGACCACTGCCGATGCAGCTGACTGACATCTCGTCCTTATGTTGCGTTGCATAAAATAATACAATTTACAGCACAGTAAAGACTTTATAAATGAAATAAAAGGTATACAAACCTTTATTTCGCTGAAGAAGTGCACCAAATCAGCGGCGCTGAGAATGTCTCTCTCTCTCCTGTAGTGGACACAAAAAGCCCACACTCTGACTGTAACTCAGCAGCTGGGCTGTTTCTATGGAGACAGGCTCAACCCAGTGGTTGGGTAAAAAAAAATAACCCAGCATTAAAAATTACCCAGCAACTCAGGCCATGTCCACACATACACGGGTATTTTTATGTTTTATGTACGAGTTTTTCCTTCTTCCGTTTTAAAAAAAATCTACGTCCACATGAAAACGCAAACGCATGCTATGAAGCACTGTCAAGAGCATGCCTAACCAACAGGTGGCGATATAATCTCAACCGTAAAGCCATGCTGGCCAATCAGAACAAAAATGTTCGGTTTCAGTGACCTGGTGCTGCGTTTGCGTGTGAACGAACGGCCTAACAGCGTAGAAAAAGCTGCGGTTTTAAAAATAACCGCATTCGTGTGGACAGGGTCTTAGTTACGAAAAAAACTACCCAGCATGGGTAAAAATATTAAAAACAACCCAATAAAATGTCCCAACAGGCTGAATCCAGCAATTGGGTAAAAAAAAATAAGATAGCATTTTTTTAGAGAGTAGCTTTCTGAAAAATTACATTTCAAATTGAATAGGGTTGAAAATTTAACTAATAGGTATCACCAGATTAAGACTTGCAAACATTATTTCTGAAATGTTCAATCAAATATGCCACTGACCAGCAAGTCGCATATTAGCAATGGTGTAACTACAGCCTATTGGCTGTTAAAAAGGGGCAGGTCCTTTCAATATGCACCGCCCAAACATCTTGTTTCAATGCAGAAATGAAGCAATTTCATGCGGCCTTGTAAAAAGTCTGGTGGGGAAACCAGTCCACCACAGTATGCTGGTCTCGTGTCTATTTTTTCTTTCCCTTGAGAATTTATCTATTCTGACCAACTTGCTTTTGCCTTCTTTCCTAGGAAGTGTGTAGAGAGCTCTGGTGCCTTAGCAAAAGTAACCGCTGTGTCACCAACAGTATCCCCGCAGCAGAAGGAACCCTGTGCCAGACCAGCACCATTGAAAAGGGGGTAAGTCAGCGTGCCAACGTCGGAAAGATTTATGCAATGGGAAAGGTTATGAAATGGCAGGTAGTGGGAAACGGACTCCTGACAGATTAGAGAAGAGAATGGCTCCGGGTGTGGCGTTTGTCCCTGCTCTCATTGTACCAGATATGGGAATAAGAAAGCCTATTCCCAGTGTTCACTCATGCACACAGCGTTTGGGTCATCAGTTCACATTTCTGCCGGTCCAGGTTAGAGAGACAGTTTGAACAAAGATTAGAGTGGCCATTGTCCTCGTTCGTAGGATGGCTCTAGAGGAGGAATGGACGAGGACCACGAGCTGTCGGTCTTTGTTACCATTCGCTCACTGGATCTATTTACTGCCAAGCTCTTGTGCGTTGTCTTGGACAAGCAGCGAGCCCCAGGTTGAGCCGCTGTTTTTTTTTAGCGGGTGGCGTACTTATGTCTGCCCCTGGCTGGGTCGGCATCAAAGGAATACGAATGTCAGCCATTTCTCACCCAGCGTGTAATGGAGTGGAGGCCCTGCCAGCTCCAGAAAGACGAGAAATGGAAAGACAGAGAAATCGGGGTGACCACACATGCTACTGAATATGCTTTCCACCAACGCCACTGATAACGAATTTGTCACGTCGTAAAGAATGACTGTCGAACACTCCAGGAAGCACAATGCCAGAAAGCCGCCCATTTCAAGGCAGAGATTATTCCTAACCTGTCACTGAAGACGTTCTTCCACTCTTTGTTTAAATGTGATGTGACAACATGAAATCAAAATTGACTCTATTTACTTTCTCAATAAATGCACTGATTTATCAGTGTTTTATGATAATAGTGACAGTAATAGTGATATATAATATACTTTTAGTGATATACCAGCCAATTTACTGTATCTGCATTGGCCAACACTGAGCAAGTGAACAAAAATATTTGTTGCCTCTTATATCAATTCCATAATCTACTGACACTCTTGTCAAATGGTAATCAACTATTTATGTATATTTAAAATGTTAATGAATTTTAAATACGTATAAAATAAAATTTAAGATTAAATACGATTATTGAGTTGTTATTATTAAGATGATTAATTATTGTTATTTATAAGATTAATAAAAAGTTTTTCAGTATATTTTAAAAGTCCATAATCTGCTGAAAGTCTTGTAAAATGATAACAATTTCTATATTACTTTTTTTTTTATGAATTTTAAAAAGTTAAAATTAAATTAAAATTAAAATAGTGAATATGAATAAAAAGATAAAATATTTTTATGTATTTTTTAATGTAATGTTTTAAATTTTTGTTTGATGTATTTAAATTAAGTGTTAATTTAAGCATTTGTATGTATATTATATTATATTATATTATATACATTATAAATTGTTTGTGTGTATCAGCATTATATCAGGCACTTATAGATATTATGTATCTATTAGTTATCAGCAATGGAATCATCCACTGGGGAAAAAAAAACACTGTAATATATCAACAAATCATTTAGCAATAATTATCACAAAGTAAACTATTTTTGTCCTTTCTCTAAAGTAACCACGCATCTCTTTCTTATAAACTATATAATACATAATAATTATTACATTATTTATATTATATTATATTTATCTGTATTTTACATTATTTATGTCACTTGTGTCTATATTATTTATTCAAAAATCCTAAAAAAAATAAATAAATTAGGTTTTACTATCATTGTCAAGTTTTCACCGAGTATGTCACAATGCAGTATGTGCTGCCTTGGGAGTGTTGTTAAAAAACAAAGTACAGTTTGTTAGGGAGCAGCATAATCATGCTGCCTACTATTTAAACAGCCTTCAAAGCATGCATATGATACACTACCTTAAAATGATGCTGACGGAGGCCGCTCACTAGGCTTTACAACAGCGCGTCTGTTAGATAAGACATTCTTTAAGAGGTTATTTTGGACCTGCCTGCTAGTATCTTAGCACACTACCCTGATTTCAGACACTGGTAGCCGAGGACACAGCCTTTCCCTTGCCAAGTTCTCTGTCTGTGGACGAGAGAAAGAAACAGAGTCTGAGAACAAGAACAAACCACCCAGATCCCTCCAGACAGAGAGAGAGAGAGAGAGTGAGAAAGAGCCAGAACTTAACCTACTAACACAGTTGCACAGTGGCGACAGTTTCCAGTGTCTCCAATCCCTGTCCTCGTGTGCCCTGGGCTGGATGGATTATGAGATCTTGCCTTGAGAAGATTCCATGTGGTCCTGAGGCATTACAAAGCCTCGAGTCTGTTTTTATTCTGGAGTGAATTCAGATTAGGGACAGTAGGTGAAGACACTGTTTACACAAAACAAGATTTAGCCTAGAGATATCTCTCAAATGAGAGCTGCACTTTACTTTGCCGGACATACCGATTACAATAAGGTTCAGCAATCCTAACTAATAATGAGCAAGAGAATGTTCAGTAACACTTTACTTGAAGCCTGCACTGGTTACACTTTATTTTAAGGTGTCCTTGTTACAGTGTAATTATACATTTAAGTACTGAGTAATATTAATTAACTACGTGTACTTACTATATGGTTTTGATTAGGGTTTGGCTTAGGGTTACTTGCATGCAATTATGCATAATTAATTGTTATTATATTAGTAAGTACATGTAACGTGTAACAAGGACACCTTAAAATAAAGTGTTACCGCCTGTGTATATAATGCATTATAAAATATTTTATTTACGCACCTCACAAACCACAGTTATAAAACATTAAAACTTACCTGTAGAAAGTATAATGTATTAAACACATGATGAACAACCAATTGCACATGTAACAAGGAATCAACAAAATTCAGATGCAAAAGCCTCAAAGTGCCATCTGAAATTTTGTTCTAAAATGAGCATTTTTCTCAGGCTCTCATGTGTAGGTTTAGTCATTTCACTTTAATGGCAATGAATATGTTTTTTTTTATACATTTCATCCATATCTCTTCTGATAAATGTAATTCATCTCTGTATTTTTTTTTCTCTTTTGGAAAAATGAAATGGAAATAGGGCAAATGTGAACACAAAAATGATATTTGTTTTTGTTTTGTTTTTTATTCACTACTGTAGAAGTTTTCCCAACTGAGAACACTTGAAATTTGAAAAAAAAAAAAAAAATGCAAATGAAATCCTACAGCAGAAAAGATTCTTTTATAAGCGCTTTTTCTTTAACAATGATTTCTGGATATCTGTGTATCAGTGGTGCTATCAGGGTGAATGTGTGGCGTTTGGGACGTGGCCGCAGAGCGTGGATGGAAGCTGGGGACCTTGGACCACATGGGGCGAGTGCAGTCGTACCTGCGGCGGCGGCGTCTCCTCTTCCATGCGACACTGTGACAGCCCAGCGTAAGTAGGCAAAGTAAGCCAGAACAAAACTGAACGGGTCCCTATTTAGTCCATCTCACTACAGCTCACACTTGTCTCATTTCTATGCACAAATCAAGACTGGACTGATAACACAACTTCAGATACAGACACCAACCCATCCCTGCACATCACATCCCCTGCACAGCCTGGAACATAACATTTATTTCCATGATCTGCCATTTTCGCTATTATCCTCGCTTGTTTCTTCACATACGCAAATATGCAAATGTTGGGGGCGTAAATATTAGTGATCCCGACATCACAGTCGGTGTTATGTTCTGATTCGCCTATTTTTCAGTGGTCTTTTGCATGCACGAGATTTACATAAGAAGGAGGAAGCAATGGTGTTTGAGGCTCACGGTATGTAATTTCCATGTACAGAACTGTTATTATTCAACTATGCCAAGGTAAATACAGTTTTCCATTATATGGCACCTTTATCACATACTAGTAAGGTGCAGTCACATTTACTGGCGTTCAGCGATTTTGTTTGTTTACTTTTTTGTGGGCAAAATCCAGTCATTTTAATAGGAATTCATGCAATCTGGAATTTCCTGTGAGGGTGAAATATTTCCCAATTTAGCAATGGCTTCAAGTTAGTCATGTGAATTCGCTGTTGGCCAACAGAAACCCTCTTGGTTTGAAAGGGAATTCTGTGTGAATTGCTTCCTAAATCACTACGTTAATGAACCTTTTTTACCCACAAACCTTTGCAAATGTGTCTGCATTGTTAGGGTTCACTTGCAAATTAGTATGCATGCATCAACCCAAGTGTTGCAGGTTCAGGTACACTACCAGTCAAAGTTTGAAATAATTATGATCTTTATTGTTTCCGAAAGAAGTCTCTTATGCTTATCAAAGCTGGATATTGGATCAAAAGTACAGAAAAAAACAGCAATATTGTGAAATATTATTACAATTCAAAAGAAATGTTTTCTATTTGAATATATTTTAAAATATACTTTATAAGAACAATTAATAATCATTGAGCATCAACAATAATTGGATAGGAAAAGGAGAAAATTCAGCTTTGCCTTCACAGAAATAAATTATATTTAAAAAAATATTACAATTATTTTAAATTGTAATAATATTTGAAAATATTACTTTTATACTGTATTTTTGAACACATAAACACAGCCTTAGTGAGCATAAGAGACTTCTTTCAAAAACATTTAAAAAAAAATCTTAATTATTCCAAACTTTTAACTATATTTTAACTGCAGAAAAAAAACATAGCACTCACAGGCACTGCATTAAAAATATTTGTAATATTTGAACTAAAATATTAAATGTTGAGATGATGAGAACACGAAGGCTTAGCAATCCCAGGCACTGTATTAAAAATGTTTTTATGGTTGTACAGTAGATACCCAAAAATTTAAATTGTCATCATTTACTCACCCTCATGTTGTTCCAAAACAGTATTAGTTACTTTCATCTATTGAACACAAAAGAAGTTGCTGATTTTCATAGTATTTCGTTTCATACTGTGGCAGTCAAAGGCTACCAGCAACTGTTTCCTTACCAACATTCTTCAAAATATCTTCTTTTGTGTTCAACAGAAGAAAGAAACTCATACAAGTTTGGAACAACATGAGGGTGAGTAATGATGACAGAAGTGTCATTTTTGGGTGCACTATGAAAACCTAAACTCAAGTTTGTCATGTCAACATAATAGATATTTGTTGATCTTGCCAGTTTTTCCAAAGATTTCATAGGTAGCCGCAGGAGCTCAAAATAGGTTTGGATGTAGATGGAGTTTAGGTTTCATTCCTAAAAGTCTATCCTCGCGCTCTCGCTGCAGACAGTGGCGGGAGTGTGGCCGGTGTAATATGTAACACCTGTGAAAGATGATCGGCCCTTAAAACCTGGCTACCCGAGAGAAAGGAAACCCAAGCACTTCAAGCCAAGCTGCCCTGGAAAGCATTCATTGAGAGCGGGCCCTGAGAAAACAGCACAACCAGCCGCTCTCGGTGCCAGACGACACGGGGGGAGGCGGAGGAAGACGGCCAGAATCACCTAAGCCTTGGCAAACCTCATTACGCTGCCCTCCTGGGTCAAAATAACCTGCGGAGAAATGGCCAAACAGCTCAGCTGTTCACTGAGAGAGACCTGAATGCATACATCAAGTATTTATAAGACAATGAGAGAAAGTGCATACTGCCCTGCTGGTCATAACAACCTGAACAGACACTGGAGATCGGGAGCTCTCTGTCAAACAAACACAAATGGAAACTGCTTTTCATATTTGCTTGTGGCTTGAGGAGTTTTCTGAATGTCCATTTATGGAACTGAAGTCAACCTTGATAGAACACGTGGATACTCGAGGGGCTTATTAGGGGCCCAGTTATTAATTATGGGGATTATTGTTTATACAATTGGAAATCACTGGCCTGAGGGGCATCTTGCTCTTGAACAATGAAACTCCATGTAAGGCTGAAATTCCACATTACATTTATATCTTTGATTTTAGCTGAAAGTTACTTTTAGTGATTCTACATTGCAGAGATTTTTTGCTTCTTAAATGCTAGCGTCTGGATTACGTATATTTAAAGGTGATGTGCTTTTTGTGCTCCTGCTGGCATAGAGCGGAATTGCAAACATAAATATAGCTGCAAGCAGTGATGACAAGCTCTAGAAAAACGAATTCGTGAGAGCATGCATTTAAGTGCATAAATGTAATAGGACCTCTTCAAAGTCTATTTTGAGTGCCACACTTCCTGCTATCAGCTGGTGGCGCTATGACCGTGAACCACCATTGTCTCATTCATGTGATCAGCCACCATGAACACATGTACAGCCCCAAAAAGGGGGGAGTGCTACAGACGTGGCACTACAATATACAAGAATATATTTACTCACATGTTTCAAATAATTTGACAAATCAAAATTCTTTTGGTAAATGTTTGTAAGATGAGTCTCTAGATGATGCATAATTTAATAATCCCAAATTTAATGTGAATTGAATAACCTAGGGGTAGAAAAACACGTTTGAAAAATTCCATATGGCAATTAATTATAATTGCATTATTGTAATTAATAATCCAATTAAATTACAGTGCCAATTTAGGACCATTTATAGAATTATTGTTTACAAACAGGTTTCCCGAAAACTTCTACCAACCCTGCCCTTTTGATTTTTCACTTGTCGAACAAATTGATCAAAAAAAAAGAGAGAAAGGTAATTGCGACCTATCTCACAATTGTTTTGTTTTTTAGAATTGCGATTCTGAAAAACACAATTCTGATAAGAAATTGTGACGTTAACTCGTATTTGCAATCTCATCGCAATGAGTTTGTCTCGCCATTCTGACTTTTTTCTCAGAATTACTAGAAAAAAAAGAATTGTGAGATATAATGCCAGAAGTGCAAGAAAAAAGTCAGAAGGGTGAGAATTAAGCGTTCATAGATTTCAGATAGCCCCGCCCCAACCTCACGTCATTGGTTCAGACAGTGTTGGGAAAATGTTAATGTATTTTTTTTTAACACACATTAGCTTTAAACTGATCTGAGACCAGAAAAGAAGAGCAAAGTCAACCCAGATCTGAAAGATGGCTATGTTTGTGTGATCTGACGACCTGATCTGATCTTTTGAACACTAAACTTCTGCAGACGACCTGGAAGTATGTGTTTGCGTGTGAGTGACGGGCGTGTTGAGATTAAGCTTAATGGACCATTTGCCCTGCTCTGCTAAAGCAAATGCAGTACAGATGCTGCCCAGTGTTGACTGGAATGGCGTGTTGATGCATTTTTACTTCGATTCCCTCTCTCTCATGATGGTACCTCATGAGCCTTTTTTATTCCTACTCTTTCAGGCCGACAGGCGGAGGGAAGTACTGCCTCGGAGAGAGGAAGCGCTACAGATCGTGTAACACTGACGTGAGTTACAGCTCTTAGCTTTTCTTTGTCTGTCAGCAGAATTATTTAGATTTTTTGTTTAACATTTAAAAGCACCTAGTATTGTTTATATTATTACACTTTAAAATAACTGTTTTCTATACAATATTTATTTCTATGCAATACAATTCTATACAATTAGTTTAATTTTATTTTAAAATGTAATTTACTCCAGTCTTCAGTGTCGCATGGCTTCCCGTTTCAAAGGAAATACATCAGCACAGGATTTTATGGGGCCTTTAAGGTGAAAATTGAGCTTGTTAGGCAGCCTTTCTACCACAAATCTTAAAAATAACAGTTAAGCACAAGCAGCGAATGTGTACTTTGGAAAACAAACAGCACCCCCAAGCACTGAAAATGAACGTGTGTTGTCCAACACAAACGTGTTGTGGATATGCACTATTGGTGACATCCGATCAGATTCTGGGGGCTTTTGACAGCAGCCCGGCTCTGGTTTGGTGCTTATTAAACAACAAACCCATCACAGATATAATGTAATTAGGTCTTTGACCTTCTGGAATCCAAATGAAGCTTTTGAAGGGGACAACCAAGGGTTGAGGACTACTCTCTGGCGTGTTTATGCGGGGCATTCCAGCGTCTGGATTTATTATGGCTGTGGTTTTGAAATTATTAAGTCATTGAGGATATGGCCCCCCTGTGGCTCTGGTTCCAGCCACGGCCATTGTTCAGTACCAAGCAAAGGTCTGCTATCATTTGTTTTACTTCTCAAAACAATGAGCTAATCTGCACCCCTTCGCTCACTGCTGACTCCATGATCCGCTAGTTTACATGCTGACTAGGTATATATTTTTTTTTTTTTTACAGATTTAACCTTTAAAAAAAGAAAAAAATATATAATTAAAAATATATTTTATATATTTTTGTTTAATCAAATTTTTTTTTTTTAAGTTTTATTTTTTAAACATTTATTACTTTTTAAAATAATATATTATATATATATGTAAAAACTTGTTATCCAAGTGTAAGCAATATCCAAGTGTTTGAATGCCTCAGTGAGCACAGTTGGTTTCTGTTAGCATCAACATTTCTGAAACTGACATGAAAATATTGTTCATTAAAACTCAGAAGATTGAGACCTGTGAGAGACGTCACGCAGAAGACAATGAGAAGTTTGAAGGAGTTGAAAATGGAGTAGAGGTGCACCGGTCAACCATATCAAGAGCTCTGCACAACATCGACCTGTGTGGGATTGTGGTACAAAAATAACCATTACTTAAAATGAACCTTGTGCAACCATGTCTGGAGATTGCCAGAGAGTATTATATCAACCAATGGAGAAAAAGATCATGTGGTGAAATGAGACCATCAGAGTTTTTAGCCAAAATTAAATGTAATATGTCTGACTCTAGTGCCCAAATAAGACTGGCCACCTCAAAAAACATCACCTCAAAAAAGACTCCTAATCGGCATCTGTGGTTGCATGAAGAACCTTTAAAGGGTTAGTTCACCCAAAAATGAAAATTCTGTCATTAATTACTCGTTCCAAACCCGTAAGACCTCCGTTCATCTTTGGAACACAAATTAAGATATTTTTTATGA